AAGAGTTATTGAGGACAGAGAGAAACACAGAGGTGAGGAGGAAGAGGGCAGCAGTGATTATGTCAAGACTGGTGTCAAGAGAAAGTGAAGACAGTGGCTAGAGTGGTTACGGATGGAGAGACAGGAGGAGGAGGGAGAGAAATTACCATCTAAGAATAGTGAGTTTATGGCAAGAGCAGGAAAGGATACGAAGGGGGAAATGAGGAAGGAAATAGAGGGGAAAAAAGAAGAGACAGGGAGACAGAGGGAGGGAGGGAGGGAGGGGTAAAAAAAGCAGAAAGTAATAAAGAGATGATGAGGTGCAGGAGAAAAAGAGGGTGTGTGGGTGTGTGTGTACTGGTGTGTGTTAGCTTTGTTCCAAGTCCCTGTTGCAGTATTTATAAAGGTCAGTGAGTTTTGATGGTGTAAAGTCTTGGTGTGGAGGTGCACGCATGTACAGACACATGGTTGAGGTCTGTGCAGGAATGTTTTTTAAATCTGTACCTGACCTGGCTGCACAGGATTTCTAACCATTACAGCTTGCTCTTGCAGAAGAGCTCTCTCTCTTCACACTGCACAGAGGCTCTGATTAGTCTCAGCCACAACAATACGGTTGTAAAATCTGTCTGATTTATCCTGCTGTGAAAGTAAGACACATAGACACACTTTGTGGATTTCGTTTGAGGTGCCAAAAGCGGACAAAAACATTATGGATTTTTCTCAGTTTCTCTGATAGTTCTGGGTGTCTCCTGTGGTAAAAGATACCACATGCTGAAATGTCAGACTTAGTGTTGATGTTTATGGGTCAGATATGGAGGAGGAATGCCTTTTTAGTGGCTTTTTTTAAAGCTGATATTTAAAAATAAGGTCCAACTACAGTACATGGCTGAAAATACACTCAACAAGAAGGAGACAGACATACAGTAAAGGGAGAAGTTGCATAAGAAAGAAACCAAGACCAACTAAACAGAAATGTAGATTGAATTTAGTGTCATATTTTCAGTTTACTGGAAAACAATGCATTTACATGCTTGATTAAACCTGATAATAAACATTAGCTCTATATATTTATATATAAATTTTCTTCTACCTCACACTTTATCTAGTTTCATCTATCCATGTGTTAATTTTGACTTATGTTGACTATTTCCTGTGGTATTACTATAAATATGTCTGATACATGCCAGGTTCATAATCCCATTGCAGACCTCTAATATTAATGCACATGCACACAGACCTTCTCACATCCCTACCTCACTTGAGGGAGAGCGCTCCACTGATGTGAACTGGCACGTCAAGGCCTTCAACCTGAAAACAACGTAGATCCTCTTGTTCCTCTGATATGACCCAGAGGAGCATTTATAACATCCCTATGGCAGCAAACACCCCAGACCTACATTCCCCTGATAAAAATGCAGTGGTTAAGATTACTGAATGGTCACAGTTTGGTTTGGTTTAGGAAAAGATCATAGTTTGTGTTAAACTAATTTCTTTGTCAAGGTTAGAGGACCTTTGTCATCACTATGGGTTTGAAATGGGAAATGAGCAGTGGTTTCTTGTGTCAAAGCCTTGTGTCTTGATGACCCACCCGTCCATTTTGACCTGCCCTCTATGCCGACTCTACACAACCTGACCTCCTTTGCTCTTTTTATAATTACTACTGCTGCTGCTAGAGGTACCTATCAATAAAATGTAAGACAAGGCACACAAAAAGTATTTCTAAGACACATTTAAAAATCAAATACCATTTTTAAACACGCTCTCTGTCTTTGTCTCTCATGCGCACATGTGCACACACACACAGAAAGACAGCATTAAACACCCTACATCAGACGCCAGTCTAAATCCTCCCTGACACATAAAGTCTTCTGAAACCCTTGCGAACACACTCTGCTAACCCCTTGTCCAATCCCTCTGGATGACAAGGTTAGCGTGACAACTCACACCCTAAAACCCTATAATAACCAGAAATCAACGACATGGCAACTGCTGACATGACAGACAGACAGAGAAGGGGAGATAAAAGGCACAAAGGTTGAAAGAACTGAGGGAACAGGGGATAAAAAAAACAATCACCACATGTTTGTCCTTTTCTGATATAGTGTCCCTAACCTTGGAGCTCGGGGGTTTTAAGAACCTACGACTCCAGGTAACTGAAGACTGGCAGCTTGTAGCTTGTTACTGTCAGCTGTTCTTTCACAGATTTCAACTGATGTCAGATAAAAGGGCTTGGTTTGAAACACTGCAACACAATGTATTCCTGCAAAACAATCCTCAGAATCTTACATCATAGCGGTGACTCAGGTGTCCCCTAGAAATAGGCAAAACTGCTTTCGAAATAACACTGTATCAACTGACTTCATGTATTTTAAAAAGGTCACTCATGACATATTGCTCTATGCACGTTATAGTGTCTTTTACCTTTGTTAAGCCTATCGCTTTGGTCCTCCAGCTGAGAGACCGCAAAGCCGAGTCTCTTGACTCTATTCAACCCCAATAAATCCAGAAGATGATGTTTCTAGCAAAGAAACTCAAATACATTTAATTTTGTCAGGTTGACAGCAATTCAACAAAAATAGGACAATAGACACATTTGCTCAAAGGTCGGCCATAATAACTTTCTGTATTGCTAGTATGTCTGTATTTCTGAGGCTTTATTTTGTCCCTCTGGCCCTTAGTGGTCAAATATTTTGTAATGCAACTTCAAATTTAAAATTGTCAGAGGAATTCAGTCATGCTGAAAGAGCATAATAAGGGATAACAAAAAGGAGGTATTGCCGTTTTGAAAGCAAAATTACATTTCTAATAAAATACTGCAGTCGCAAACTTAGCAGAGCAGCACTGGCATTAAATGTAACCACATGCCACTGATGTTGTACAGTACAGAGTCCTGATGTGTGGTACAAATAGGTATAGCTGTCCTTACACCTCTCACTCACCCTGCGTAGGCCAGATGCTATACTTAACATAACAATTACTGTTGGTCAGCAAGAGAATCTAGGCCACTGAGAGGCACAGACCTCCATCTTTAAGTCCACTTCAATCCACAGAGTCACATTTCAGTCATGAACCCCACCTTCAGCAAACCCAGTAAAGACTCCATGCATTTGATTTATTCACATCCTTCATCAGAAGTTTTAAAATCCAATCTCTCTGTCATCATGAACAAAATGTTACACTAACGCATGAAAATAACCAGTAACGCAGTGACTGAGTGCTGCTGCCGTCTCAGCGCTCACTTATGACTAACAGTTCTCCATTCACGATACAGTATGTTTCTCTAAGCTAATTTCCAGTTACAGACAAAACACACTCTGTCACTCTCACTTTCTCGCTCTTTTTTTTTTTTAACCTTTCGGTCTAGCCTTGTACTTCATTTACTTCATTATGGCTTCACTCTTCAGACTCATTAGTTTCAGCATTTTCAAATGAAGGATTTTCAAACAAACAGCGCTAACAAGCTTTTTCAAAAGTACATATATATACACTGTATGTGTACATTTGTGTATACCTGAGTGTTTGGACAAATGTATATTTTTATATGTGTGTGTGTTTAGTCTTTTCACACTTGAGCTCTTCCAAATAGTGTTGTTACAGATCTGGTTGACAGGGCTACTTGGTAAAGTGCTTTTTCAGGCCCCTGGCTAATGGCCTGTTGAAGACTTCTGCTGATGAAAATGAGATTACCTCCACAGGCGAGACTTTTTGCTCAGTACACATAAATGAAAATCAGTCTACAGGACAGACATTTGGTTTTGAATGCCAAGTGTGCAGTACTTTATGTTGCTGCATGCATTTTGACAATCTATATAAATTTTAAAATATTCAAAGGTCATTGTGCCTGTGAGTGTATAAACATCTCTTTATATACTGGGAAATGTACATAGTGCCCGCAAGTGTGTACATATATGTGTCTATGCGAGTCTTTTGGGTACGTTTGTACATTTGGGCAGAAGCAGCCCACCCTGGCTGAACTGACAACAGCCTCGACTAATGTCATAAGACATGTATGTGCTCTGACAACACAAATATGTAGACGTCACATGTACCATTTACCATAGCAAAGGCAGCTATCTTTTACACAGCTACAGTAAACTGATCACAAAAGATGAGATACAGTAACAATCAATTAGACCTAGTTATGTACATCATATTTTCCCCACAGCAGGTTTTAAACATTACCAATATCTATAGCAAAATAGTATAAATATTGCTGCAAATTCCACCTCAGGGTTTATGAAAATGCCACTGCAAATTCAGTCAGAGCAGCAAGATCAGGGTCCAAGTCAAAGATCCCTGTAAACTGAAAAACCCATGCAATGCAGTTTGATTTAAAATAAAAATTTTTACTCATGAATGCAAAACATATCAGAGAGATGCAGGTGTGCTGGTTAATCCCAGCTGAGTGCATTCGCTACAGGAATGTGACCTTAGTCTTGTTCAGCTGTTGTTTGTGTACTGACTCTGCAGAATTGCACTGTAATTTAAAATGTTAAATGTTCTTTCCTTACACATGCCTTTGTATAAATGTGAGTGTGAAGAGCAAACTGTATCTCACCAGGAAGGCTTGTTGACACGTTAACCTGGGTGTAGAACCTCTTGTTGGGCAGCAGCTCAGACACTCCATTTAAGGCTTCTACTGTAAACGTGTAGTTGGTGTTGGGAAGAAGATTGACCACAGTCACCGTTCTCTCCGTCAGGCCGACCTGCTGAGGCACAAAGCCAACACTTGCCCCACATGGCTCACACTGCTTCCCAGCACACCGCCGGCACCCGACGCTGTAGGTCAGATCCACCCTGCCTCCTGTGTCGGAGGGCGCAGCCCACTCCAAGATCAACGTGGACTGCTTCAGGGTGTAGACCAAGTCTCTAGGTGGAGATGGGGGCCCTGAGAAAGGCAAGAAAATACAAAATTGTATATTGATTTATTATTCATTCCTAAATAATTTGAGTCTTTTTGAAAACAAAGCAAACAAAACCGCAGGAATAGAGAGGGGACTATATGTATACCCTCTTTTGCAGACATCAGTATTTAAACACATTTTTGTTTCAGCCATTGTTATCCAGTTGACAAAGGAGCCTATAATTTGTCAAAGCATGTTAAATACAAATCAAGAACCATCACAACATAGAGACTAAACACGCACCAAAAAGAATCAGTCAAAAATGTATCTGAAAACATAAAGCCATCTACTAACTGAAGTGATCGCAGCAGCAGCATTGCTTTACTCCTAACTCTGAAAGACTGCCTCTTAATCCATCCATCCATCCATTTTCCCCCGCTTATCCGGGACCGGGTCGCGGGGGCAGCAGTCTAAGCAAAGATGCCCAGACTTCC